CGACGACGCGAACGCCACTTTTTGTGCGTTAAACCGGTCTGTCAAAAGCGTGTTGCTTTTCTAAAACCCCCCCCCGGGAAAGTTAAATGTCCTTATCCCCTATATTAGTCCCTGGTCACATCAAAGTGAGAGACAATTACAAATACAGGCAACATTTTATATATTTATTTAATTTCAAAAGCAAATATTTTCCTCTTTTCATTAATATAATCACATGGTTGGTTAAAGTACCTATATCAGTGTCTAATAAAATATGATTTTATTTTTTAAACTTCATTAAATAATTTTAAAATTCGAATGAATTTTAAGAACACAGAGGCCGAGATTATTTATTTGATATATCATACTCTCAACAACAGTGCGTGACTTTTTTTCCCCTTCGCATTTTCCCTTTTCCCTAAAATTTTGCGGTTCCCATTTTTGTTTTATTTACTTTTATGACTTACTTTGATTGCGCGCGCCTACTTTGATCAAAGTACTTTGATCGTGTCAACCCGCCTTCATTCAATAAAGAAAAACCAAACGTTACAGTCCAGTTGACTCTATTAGCTCCGACAATAGCAAGATTAAGTGGTAGATGTTAACAAACAACTATTTTTGCAGAAATTTTATTTTTTCGTGACAAAACATACAGTAACGTAATAATAACACAAGGTTGCTTCAGGTTTATCCTTATGTTACTCCTCTATTTTAAGAAGTTATCAAAAATTAAACCCAACATATTTACCGTAAACCGGGGCGAGTCTACCCATTTTAGTTTTATTTAATTTTCACTATTTTAAATTGCAAATAAAATTTTTTTTACCAACGGAGGACTTAGTTCAGACTCTAAGGAAGATGGCGCTGTAGTAGTTTGATNCACAGCTTTAAAGAGGGATAAATAGCGATTCCGAAACACCTATTAAAAGCCTTTTTTCTTTAATATTTACAAAAGTTTGACCACTTGAAAGTTGACAAATTGAAAAAATGGGTAGACTCGCCCCGGTTTACGGTATATGTTTCTTATAAAAATAATAACATTTTATCAATATTTTTTTTTTATCTTCTTTCCCATTTATTGCTCATTTACTCCTCTCCAACAGCAAAAGAACTCTTGATTTGAATTTGCATGTTATGAAATAATTCAATTTATAGTAAATTTGTATTTTGGTTTGAAATATTTTCCATGGGAAAAAATCAATCATAAAAACTTGTTAAGATTTTTCCTTTGGCTAAGATTTATTTAAGTTATATTATAAGCTATATTTTCCCTTAATATTAGCCTATAATTTTGAAGCTCGATCAGAAATTATATCATAATATAATATAATACAATACAAAAAGATATAATAACAGAGAAATTAGGGGCACCAAATGGTGCATAATATGGTTCCCTCGACAAACCACGGAAATTATTTACCAATCTTGGTATAAGTTTGGTTCACGGTTAAACGTGCAGCAATAAGTGGTTTGAAACATCAATTGGCTAATCCCGAGGGCCCGTGGTTCAAATCCCGGCTGCGAATAACTTTTAAAAATTATATTTAAGAAAAATAATTTATTTTTATTTATTTTATAACATGGTAATGTAAATAAAATATTCCTTTACTTACTTTATTTTAGGTGAGCTTTTAATAAAAGCGTTAGAAATAAGAAAATGTTTGTTCATCTTCTGAATATATATAATGCCACAGATATCACTTGATATTAACCTGTAATTTTGTAACTCGTTCAGATATATTATTCTATATGTAATATACTACCACAACAAGCAAAATAATTATAGACAAATTAGGGGGTGCTGAATGCAGTAATACCCAGTTAAGCATGTAGATTGTAGAAATAAGTAGTTGGAAGCAACAAATCCGGTGGAGGTCAATTTCCTAAAAATAATTTTATGAAAAATAAATTTAAGAAAAATAATTTTTTTATAATAAAAAAAAATAAATTTAAGAAAAATAATTTTTTTTTATATATTTATTTTACAATATGGTAACGTACATAAAATATTCCTTTACTTATTTATTTTAAGTGCGTTTATAATAAAAACGTAAGAAGTAAGAAAATGCTAGCTCATTTACTGTATATATATAAGGCCCCATATTTACACTTAATATTAACCTATAAACTTGGACAGATATTATATTATGATATACTACCATCAGGGCCCGATTAACCCCTGAAAATAGAGGAAGCATAATTGGATTTTGGGGCCCCCCATAACTTGATCAAAAGAAACTTTTTATATTTTTCGCCCATGAACAATACATTTTAAAGAGACAAGAACCATGTGAAAACTATAAGAACCTTAGAAAGGAATACAGAGATCTTATGCAATCATGTTAGACCCTTCTTTACGTGCTTTATAGTAACAAAAACATGAGGGAGTAGCTAGCACATATGTTAAAAAAATTTAAATATTTAACTAAATTAAATTATAAAATTTCTTGTTATACGAAAGGTTCTTTGCAAGATTAGTCTCTTTTTTAACGCCAATTTTTTTTAAACTTCTTTAATTATTATTTTTTGCTTTTACAAAAAATAAGAAATTGGGCCCTTAATTTCAGTCATTTGGGGGGCCCCCTAGAATTTTACAGGGGAAGCACTTGCTTCCTGTGCCTTTTCGGTAATCAGGCCCTGACTACCATACCGACAAAATATTTATAAGAAAAATGAGAGGGTGCACAGTGGGGTATACATGGTCCCCTGACAAACAGCAGAAATTACTTTAAAAGCTAAATTGTAACATAAATAAAATATTCCTTTAATTATTTTTTTAGCGTGTTTATAATATTAGTGTTAGCTCATGTTTTGTTCAGATATAATACCCTATATTTCTCTTTCTTAATACTAGGTCAGATTTTATTTATTAATATAATATACTACCACACCAAGTGAAATAATTATAGACAAATTAGGGTGCCCTACAATGGAGCATTATATGATTCTCCCGAATTACTTTAAAAGCATAATATGACTCAGAAGATTTTTAAAAATTAGATCTAAGAAAAATAAATTTATTTATTTATTTATTTATTTTACAATATGGTTACATAAATAAAACAACCCTTTACTTTTTTCGAGTGCGTTTATAATAAAAGCGTTAGAAATTAGAAAATTTTTGAATTTTCACTCTTTTACGTAACAAACTTAAACTCGAAATTACTGGATAGGGGTAGATTGAAAATTATTTTTTCTTAAGTGATGCATGGTCATCATGTAAGCATGGTCATCATAAAGAAAAAAAAAAATCGAATTTCATTAAATTATTAAGGCGTTTTGATTATGAAAACAATTTGCTGGGAAGTTCAGGAAGTATATAAGATAAATGGTCATGGAATAATTAATAAATAAGTAATTAAATAGTAACAAAAATAGATTACTATTTCTGTACAATAGCGAATTTTCTGTCGATTGGCTGAGTGGTATGCTGAAAAATTACATTAAATGTGAGCTTCAATATATTTATTTCATTAATGTAATGTTAATACAATATTTATTCGTTATTTTAAAAGATATTTTCTAAGTTTTATAAACTTTCAAGATAAATTTCCAGTTGATACATCTTCAAAACAATACACCACTTGAAAGATGCCATGCAAAGCACGAAACACGTTATTTTGGTTTCTTTTTTTTTCTCTCTAAAACTCGTTCTCTTGCACTAACAAAACACCAAGGACGAATTTTTTTGACATTTATTATTGTTACTGGAATTTTTTGAAAAAGAAACAAAAATCTGTTAAATATAGATACACACACAGATATACATATTTATATATTCTTCCACTTCCACGAAATTTAAAACAAACAAAGTTAAAAATATTGTAAGACTTCGATGATCAAAACTAAAAACTGGTTCGCATTCTGAAAAAAGATTTGAATGTAATATCGAAAAACAAATCAAATAGTGCTGCCCTCTAGTGTAGAATTGTATTTTTAAAGTATCAGCAGAATTTAATAGCATTGTATTTTTTTCAAGATTCATTATTGATGGTATTAATTAATTGAATTTCATTCCTCAATAATGATTAATTGTGTTCTCTCAATAAAAGCACCCGAAAAATATCCGTTATAAATGTTTAGTAATTTTATTCAAGAGTGGGTCAAAGGATAAAGTGAGATTTCATTGGCTGTTGAGTTAGTGCATGAAAACTAAAGTTTAGTGGGACCATTCACTAATAACGTTAATGTTAAAACATCTTTATCATTGAGAATACGGACAATTTCATAGTTTTATTTCATGCCCTCTTAAACTTGTATACAAAACCACGTGGGTAATTGAAGCGTTGATTGATCTGTCATTTTAACTTACTTTGGCGCAGATTCCAGGCGGATTACGAAACTTGGTCTTGTTTTCTGTCTGAAGTGAGTCAGATAAATAAAATTTCTTTAAAATTAATGTATTAGTACGATCATTTGGCACTTCAACGGCGAGTAGGCAACATGTCGGTAGCATCTATAGCTCGTTTCTCAATAAAACGCTTATTTAACTCCACCATTTTCCACCGTCGAATTGCATCTTATGTTGATCGTAAGTTAGTTATTAATTTTTATAATTATAAATGCATTTTATAAACAAAAGCAGTGGTTTTGTGATGATTTCTGAAATGTTTTTATTATTTACTTCTAGCTGCTTTTGGTCTTGAAGATGAAAAATTAGAAATTCAACGAATTGCTGGAGATTTTGCATCCAAAGAAATGTTTCCTCATATGGCTTATTGGGATGAAAAGGTTAGTCTTAATTTACTAATAATGACTTTAAATTAAAAGGGTTATAAAAATACCTATACAACTCCAAAATCTTTTCTCTATTTGTTGATTGTCGTACGAAATTTAAAGTATAGTTTTAAGTTTTACTTTATTAGTTTGTAAAGTGGATTATTTTCAATACTGTATTATAATGTTGTTTATTTTTTAATTTAAATGAGAGGCTCAATATGTATATTGAAACCATATTATTGTCAATGTTGAGTGTTATTTATCATATGAGGTGGAAAATTAAAATATGTTGGCAAATTCACTTACTTACATTTTAATACACGTTATTACCTTAAATTATGAATCTCTGTATGGGTTTTTATTTTAATGTAAACTACCAAAAGTGTAAATTTTTCATTGTAAAGTATAAAAGGTAGAAAAACAAGGGTGCCAAAGGTTTTTGTTTTTATAGTGTAATAGTGTAACACATCTTATAAAGTAGAAAAGATAGCACTCTATTATTGAAATTGTGTTAGTTCAATGTATTATATGTGTATTAGCTCAAGAAAATATGTGTATTAGCTCAAGAAAAGAGCTTACATATTTATATTTCAATTTATAAGAGTAATTAGGTAGATTATAGAGTTTTGTTGGTAATTTATTTTGCATTTCATTACTAATTAAAAAGATTGAGGCATAAGCCCCATTTTTGAATTGTTTAATTTAGCATTTTCAATGATAAATAACCACAATTTTCATTTAGGCAATGTATTGTTATCTGGTGTAAATTCTAGAAACTTGTCAAACGTGTATTTTTAAATGATACGAAGGAACAGTTTGATGATACAAAAGTGTGGCTTAATCATTATAATGCACCCAGCCTTTCAATTGCAATACTTTTTAAACTATGTTAATTCAATTTTCTTTATTAATGATGAGTTTTTAGAACTATAGTTTTCTGCAAAATTAAAAAAAAGTTCGGAAAATTTTAATGTGGGTTAAATTTATTGCCTTAAAAAGAAGGGCTAAGAACATTAAATATTTTTAACTGAACTTGTAGTATGTTAAATTAATATTGCATCAACCTTATAAAAATGAAACTTTCTTTCTCTACATGTTAAAAGCAGTAAATAGGAAAAAAAAAAAAAAACATTGTGAATTTGTGCATTGCTAATTTGTTCACAGTGATAAGTTTTTTATTTTTTTATTTTTTTTTTTTAAACTGAAATTCATATTTTAAACTACTGCCTAGACTAAAGCCTGGCTGCTTTTTGCAAATTTTTTTTCTCTCTGTTATTTAATGTGTGATGATATTCTATGATATTAATGTATTGTACAAAAATTTCCTTAGATTTATGATAATACTCATGACAAATGCAATAAATTCTCTTATCTATAATTCCATTATAGACTGCATTCTAACAGTTAAAACTAAAGAACAGTATAAAAATAAAGAGTATGTCAAGTGGCATATCCACTGTGATTTAAAGTAGAGGGAAATCATTAAAACCCTACTTTAAAATTATTTGACTTAGACAATCTTGAACTTGGTTATAAATTTTAGTTGCATATTGGCATGATGGAATATTAACTATTTGATCCTGGTTATTTATTTTATTAATGCAATAGTACTTTAAAATTTTCCATGCATTGATTTAAATCTACCGTGAGTTGTCCAGTATTGATAAAATTATACTAGAAATCATTAAAACTTTCTGTTCAAAAAAAATATTATATAATTAAAATTAGTATATTTTATAATACTTTTGTGATAAAATTTACTTTTATTTCACTTTAAGTAGTGCAAATTACTTTTTCTCTCTTTTTTTGTTTGAGCTTGACTTTATTATAGAAAAGTTAAGAAAGGAATTAATTTTATGTAAGCTATATTTACATATAATATTTATTTGTTTTAAAATCAAAATTTTATCGAGTTAAGTTTGTAAATATGTTTTTTTATTTATTTTTTTATTTCATTCTTTTATTTAAATAGGCAATGCTCTAGACCTTTAAATTTGTGTTAAATCTAAAATCTAGTATGACTTACAGAAAAGTTAATGTACTATAGTATGTATTAAAATAACTTATTGCATTGAATTTGTGGTATGTGTAAACTCTAAAAGTGTGCTTAGTTTTTTAAGAAATACATTTTTGTCCTAAAGTAAAGCTTCATTTTATTTCTTCAAACATAACCTACTATTTAAATCAACCAATTTTACAAATGCTAATTGCAGGTGAAATATTTATATGCAAAATGTATGAAAATTGTATATTTTAAAAGTGTATGTATTTATCATGTATGTATTTATCAAACATGCAGAAAAAAAGCTTTATTTTCATAGACAGTAATTCTAAATTTAACTTTTATGGTTTCCCATATAATTCCCATTATATAAGGACATCCAGTAATGATGTTACACCACTTGTTAAGAAATTGTGATAGTTTTTAACAAAGAGAAGGGGGGAAATGAAAGCAGGAAGTGTGACATCATTCATTATTATATAACTAAAGAAGTGTGACATCATTCATTATTATATAACTAAAAACATCCTTCATTTGTCAACAGATCATTATCAGATCATTATTATCAGTTTAGATATGTATTTTTTTATTTTTACCCAGAATGAAAAAAAGAAAGGAAAGGAAAGGAAAAAAAAAGACTAACAATTTTTGTTAGGGTTACAAAGGGCGGAAAAACATATATTTAAAGTAAAAAATTAAATTTGAATTCTGATTTACAACTTAGTTGTTTATTTTTAAACTGCAAGCATAAGTTTTTAACATATTATTTTTATTATTGTTTGGTCTCTTAGATGTGCTTTTAAAAATGGTAGATTCCATAAAACAATACAGTAATCATATAATTTTTTAATGACAAATTGAGGGATCGTCCACCAAAAGTCCTGCACAAAAATGTCAAGTATCATATCCACTGTGCTTTAAAGTAGAGGGAAATCTTTAAAAACCTGCTTTAAAATTATTTGACTTAGACAATTTTGAACTCAATTACAAATTTTAATTATATATTGGTAGGAAGGAATATTAACTAATTGATCCTGGTTATTATTTTTTTTTAATAAAACAATACTTTAAAATTTTCCATGCATTGATTTGAAATTATCAGGAGTTTTCCAATATCATAATATTATACTGAAAATAATTAAAACTTTATGTTCTAGAAAATTTTTTGTAATTAAAATTAGTACATTTTATTATACTTTTGTAATAAAATTTACTTTTATTTCACTTTAAGTAGTGCATAATAATTTTTTTTTGTTTGCCTTATTTTTAGAAATAGTCTGATATATTCCAAAAATGATGTTTTTCTTTTTTGTTTTTTTAAAAAAAGAAAATGTTGTTCTGATTTTTTCTTTGTCCAATATGATGCCTGAGGTAGGATTAACAAATTTTTGATGGTTTGTTATAAAATATTTTTACAAATTAATGATAATAAATTGATTGGACTTTTATTTAGTTATAAATAATTATTCATGTAGTATTTTATAGCTAAGAATTATTCTGATAGTAAAGTTAAATTTAGGACTGTGCTTCTGTTTAACAATCTGTTATGACTTAAGTTGCCGGCAATTTTTTCCCCACAATTCTGATATAAATTTTCCGATCATTGGTTAGAATCTCATGAACCATGATTCATTATAGACAAGTATGGAAATGCCCCACGGTTAAAATCATCAATGATGCATTTTCTTAATTGTCTACAATGGATGTTGCTGATTTTAATAAAACTATCGACCATAAAAACAAGTTGAGCTTGATACTTACATAGGAAGTTTCTTTGTTTTCTGATTAAATTTACAGCTCTGAATCAAAATTGCATATATTTATTTGAAGCCTTAAATAATGTGGATAAATTGCTCTCTGTCAAGTTTGAAATCAATAAGCAAATTTATTAAAAAGCTTATGTCCAATATTAGAACTAGCATTAGATATTTAAATTTTATACATAAGCACACTTTACACCTTGATAACTTAACCCCATCAATAAATCAAAAACCATCTCTTAATCAATTTATTTGACTTCAGAAAAGTTAATTGGTATTGGGTAAAGGAATTTATTTTATGTCAGCTATATTTCCCTTTTATAGTTAGATTTATCAGTCACCATTAAATTTAATAACAAAACAGTCTTGGTGTTAAAAAAAAAGGTACAATAACTATTCTAATAGTTTCTATGGATTTTTTTTTTAAAAAATAAAAAATTATTTTGGTAACAAGGAAAAAAATTAAATCAATTTTTTGCAGTGTTTTTCAAATGATGTAAAAAGATAAATGTTTAATGAAGTAAAAACATAAATACTTAGTTTTTTTTCTATTCATTTTTAATTATTTTATGCCAGATAAAAATAAATTTTAAAAATATTTTTGCTGTGAAATATTTTTCTTTTTTGAATTTTAATTATTTTTTGCCTTGACGCATTTTTAATAAATGATTATTATTAAAGCTTAAATCAATATTTTATCCAGTTATGTTTGTAAAAAACTTTTTTTATTTTATTTAAATAGGCAATGCTAAAAAATGATATAGACTATTAAAATTGTGTTAAATCTAAAATCTAGTTTGACTTAAAGAAAAGTTAATGTTTATTACTATAGTATGTATTAAAATTACTTATTACATTGAATTTGTAGTGTATGTAAACTTTTCAACAAAAAAAAAAAAAAAAGAACGAAGGGGAAAAAAAAGACTTAAAATAATTATATTTTTTTATTTCCAAACTGCAAATTTACGTTTTTGACATACAGTAAGACATATGATGAGGAAGAGGGTAGAGGTAAGGTGAAATGTGACACTTTCTTGCAAAGGAGAGGGAGGGTGTCAAAAATACCAAAGAGAAAGTGACATTATTTATAGACTATCTCATGAGGCCCTTTGTAGAAAATAAAGAAAAGTAAAAAGGAATCAAATGATTTCAATAAAAATACTAGTAATATAAAGGTAATTAGTATTATAATTTACTTTCTAAGTTCAAAGACTTACATGCTTAAAAAAGTTTTTTAATTTTTCTCTCTG